GTCAAAAATTATGGTTGAATAAAGTTACAATTTGTGAACCAAGAAAAAAACACCCATGGTTTTGCACCCATGATTTTGTAACAACTCCCATGGTTTTGTGAAGATGAACACCTATAAATAAAGGTGCATTTCTCATTCCTACAACAACATAAATCATTGCAATATAACATAAAAGAAAAATTTAGAGAGATAGAATATATTGTATCTTCTCCTATAAGGTTCTTTTAGCGACTGTTCTCCTATTACAAGAGAAAGTGTAATTTGTCCTCTTCTTGTATATAGAGAGAAATGTTGTAATTTCTTCCACTTAGTGAAAATATTTTCTACCGGTGCCCGTGGTTTTTCCGTCATTTGTTGAGGGGTTTCCACGTAAATATCCTGATTCACTTTTCCTACTCCTTAATCTCTTATTTTTGTGATATTTATCTTGCTACTCTGATACCCAACAATGGTATCAGAGTTGTTGGTGTTGGTATCTATTTTCACTGCGGTGTACAGTTACTATTCACACGTGTGGTTGTATATTTTTGTAGTGATTGTTAACATATACTAGATCTATTCTAGTGTACGGTAAAAATATGCAATACTACTCACATATACTGTGTTATTCACGGTGAAGTTGTGTAAACCAGTTCAGTGAGAAAAAAATGGCTGCAAAGTTTGAGATTGAAAAATTCAGTGGGAGTAATTTCTCCCTGTGGAAATTGAAGATGCAGGAAATCTTGAGGAAGGGTAATTGCTCACCAGCAATTAAAGGTAGACCTACAAATATAACTGATGAAAAAAGGAGAGAGATGGATGACAATGCTATTGCCAATTTGCACTTAGCAATGCCAGATTTAGTTTTGTCAAGTATAGCAGAAAAGAAAACTGCAAAGGAGATATGGGATACTCTCATCCAATTGTACGAGGTCAAGTCACTTTACAACAAAATTTTCTTAAAGAGGAGACTCTAAACTCTTCGAATGAGTGAATCCACTTCGGTGCCAAATCATATCAACAATTTGAATACGTTATTTGCTCAACTATCTGCATCAGATTTCACAATAGTGGAAAATGAACGAGCAGAGCTTCTTCTTTAGAGTTTACCAGATTTGTATGATCAACTCGTCATCAATATTACAAAAAATAATATTGTTGTCCGTCTATCCTTTAATGATGTCGTCGGAGATGTTCTTGAAGAAGAATCCAGGCGTAAAAATAAGGAAGATCAGCAAGAAAGCTCAAAACGAATAGAAGCTTTGACGATTATGAGAGGTAGATCAAGGGAACATGGTCTCATTGGGAGTCAAAATCATGGTAGATAAAAATATCAAAGAAGAACAACTTCAAATGCTACAACTGTGGCAAAAGAGGGCACTTGAAGAAAGAATGTTGGTTCAACAAAAGGAATGGTGAGAAGTCTTCTAAAGCAAGTACATCTCAAGGATGTATTGCTAGTACCTCCGATGATGGAGAAACCCTTTACAGCGGAGCAACAGTTAGTACCAAAGGATAAATTCAACTCACTGATGGTTAGATAGTAGTTTCAGGAGAAACATGGCACATAACCCCATGACGAGATTGCTTTTGCTCATACGAACCTATCTCAGAAGGACATGTATTGATGGGGAATGACCATGCTTTGGAAATTGATGGAGTTGGTACTGTCAAAATGAAAATGTATGATGGTACTATCCACACACTTCAAGGGGTACGACATGTGAAAGGATTGACGAAGAATTCGTTGTCTATTAGGCAACTAGATGACCTCGGATGCAAGACTCATGTTCAAGGTGGGATCTTAAAAGTGGTGAAAGGTTCGCTAGTAGTAATGAAAGCAAGGAAGGTCGCTACAAATCTATACATGCTTTTGGGAGACACTATGAAAGGAGTAGATGCATTAGTAGCAGTTGGAAGCTAGGAAGAAACAATGACGATATGGCATCGCAGACTAGGCCATATGTCAGAACGAGGCTTGAAAGTTCTTGCAGAACGTAATCTCATACCCGGACTCAATTCGGTAAATTTACCTTTCTGCGAGCACCGTGTGATAAGCAAGCAGCATAAATTAAAGTTTTCTAAGTCATTTGCTAGAAGCAAACACATACTATACTTGATTCATTCTGATGTGTGGGAGTCACCGGAAATGTCCATTGGTGGAGCAAAATATTTTGTATCATTCATTGATGGTTACTCCAAGAGACTATGGGTGTACCTAATCAAGAAGAAGTCAGATGTGTATTTAGTATTCAAGGGGTTCAAAGCACAAGTGGAACTTGAAATTGGGAAAAACATTAAGTGCTTGAGGACAGATATTGGAGGAGAATATACAGATGGTGATTTCCTAACATTCTGTAAGCAAGAAGGTATTAAACGGCAGTTTACTATTGCTCATACACCTTAGCAGAATGGTGTAGTAGAGCGGATGAATATAAATCTCTTGGAGAGAATGAGAACTATGCTGAAAACTACAGGATTGACAAAGTCTTTCTGGACAGAAGCTGTCAAAACTGTCTGCTACATGATAAATCGATCGCCATCAACTGCGGTTGATTTAAAGACACCAATGGAGATGCGGAAGGGAAAATCGGGTGATTATTCTTCTTTGCATGTATTTGGATGTCCTGTGTACGTGATGTACAACTCTCAAGAAAGAACAAAGTTGGACCCAAAATCCAGAAAATGCATATTCTTGGGTTACACTTAGGGCTGACAATGAACCGAACCAACTCAAAAATAGTTCAGAATTCGATTCGGCAATTAAATCGTTGAACTAGGTTCATGAACCAAATGAGTTGAGTATGAGCAAAAAATTAAGTTCGTTAACTAAATGAGCTGAACTTGAACTATACATAGTTCGACTCGTTAGGTTCATGAGTCAACTCGATTACATAAGAGAAGAATTATACTGTCTTTAAGATTAGGTTTAAATATTTACTCCAAATCTTAGACAAATTTAATTTTCAATTTAGTAGTTTTTGAATTAGACTCTCAAATGTATCTCTTGAAAGTTGTGTAGGTTTTGAATTAGTAGATTTCGAAGATAAAGTTAAATTTCAATATGATAACTTTTATTTTATTTTAATATTTTATTTAAAAAATATATATTTATTTAAAATGTCAAATATACTAAATATATATATATATATATATATATATATATATATATATATATATATATATATATATATATATATATATATATATATATATATATATATATATATATATATATTTAAAAAAAATAGTTTTTAAGTCCGTGAATCATGTGAGCTGAACCTAATGAGATGAACCTAACGAGTTGAACCGAACTATTCGTGAACTTATAACGAGTCGAGTTTGAGCTTAAAAAAAAGTTCGTGTCGAACTCGAACTCGAACAATTCTTAACGAGTCGAACCGAGCTGAGGTGATTACATCTCTGCTAACAATAATCTCGTGGGCAGCGAGATCCCGTTGAGTATACCCCTTCAAATTGTCAGTGTAAAACTGCAAGTCAAGTCAATTCTACCCCACTTTCTGTCAATTATAAATTATCCTCAAGTATGAGTCCTAACAATGAAGTGGAAAGGATGGAAATGTCTTGAGTACCGTATGCATCTGCGGTGGGAAGCCTTATGTATGCTATGATATGTACTATACCAGATATTGCTCAAGCAATTGAAACGGTCAGTCGGTTTATGACAGAGGTAATGAACACTGCAATGTTGTTAAGAGGATCCTTAGATACATCAAAGGAACCTCAGGTGCTGCATTATGTTTTGGGGGATCATAATTCACTCTCAGAGGCTATGTTGATTCAGATTTTGCAGGCGACCTTGATAAAAGAAAATCTGCTACTGGTTATGTGTTCACACTTGCAGGAGGAGTAGTAAGTTGGTTATCCAAACTGTAGACTGTTGTAGCTTTGTTTACTACAGAAGCTGAATACATGGTCGCTGCCTAAGCATGTAAGAAAGCAATTTGGATTCAAAGGTTATTGGAAGAACTCAGGCAACAAAAGATTACTGTGTACTATGACAATCAGAGTGCCTATAAATAGAGGTGCATTTCTCATTCCTACAATAACACAAAGCATTGCAACATAACATAAAAGAAAAATTTAGAGAGATAAAATATATTGTATATTCTCCTATAAGGTTATTTTAGTGAGTGTTCTCCTATTACAAGAGAAAGTGTAATTTATTCTCTCCTTATATATAGAGAGAAGTGTTGTAATTTCTTCTACTTATTAAAAATCTTTTCTACCGGTGTCTGTGGTTTTTTCTTCATTTGTTGAGGATTTTCCACGTAAATATTCTGTGTCACTTTTCCTATTTCTTAATCTCTTACTTTTGTGATATTTATCTTGCTACTCTAATACCCAATATATATATATATATATATATATATATATATATATATATATATATATATATATATATATATATATATATATATATATATATATATATATATATATATATATATATATATATATATATATATATATATATATATATATATATATATATATATATATATATATATATATATATATATATATATATATATATATATATATATATATATATATATATACACTCATTATGGGTGAACTCGTTGACGAGAATAAACTTTTTATTTCGTTTCATTTTTTTTTACAATAAATTATTAAAAAGTGTTTTCCATTTAATAGTAACTTTTAATGTATACTACAATTTTTCCAAATTAACATTACCGTCCATGCCTTGAAAAAATGTTCACAGTTAATCTGTATTGAGGAAGTTGAAAAAGTACACCGTTCAAAATCACAAACACAGTCACCCTGGGATATTATTTGCACAACGCCACAAGAGCAGTACAACCGAGGAGACTCTTCAGTTTTCCAAAACAACAACAATATTTTCACAATCACTCCTAACTTTCTATCTTCAGTTATATATATAAACACAATCTTATGTTACGCAAAAATATAAGTAGCATCTTTTTCTTTTGAATCCAATTCTGATTTGAGTTTATTTGGTTTACTTGAAGAACATGGCGAGTAAATACCAAGGACTTGCTGTTGGAATAGACCTTGGCACAACTTACTCGTGTGTTGCAGTGTGGCTGGAACAACATTGTAGAGTTGAGATCATTTACAATGATCAAGGAAACAGAACAACACCTTCTTTTGTTGCTTTCACTGATGATCAAAGGTTGATTGGCGATGCTGCAAAGAATCAAGCTGCTGCCAACCCTCAAAACACTGTCTTTGGTAACATCAAGAATTTTCACTTTCTTTATATTACTTATTATTATTGATTATATATATTCTTTTTATTTTTGAGGAAAACTATATTTTTTTTCTTATTGATAACTATACTTATTTTTGTTGTTGTTTTATTATATGATCGATGATGATTGCTATAAATTGCTGAAAAAATCAAATGCTGAAAATTACTAATGTTATCTTTTCAGATGCCAAGAGGTTAATTGGTAGGAAGTTTAGTGATCCTATTGTTCAAGATGATATGCTTTTATGGCCATTCAAAGTCATTGCTGGTGCTAACGACAAACCCATGATTTCTGTCAAGTATAAAGGTCGGGAGAAGCACTTATACGCCGAGGAAGTATCATCGATGGTACTCACGAAGATGCGAGAAATTGCTGAGGCATATTTGGAATCCCCGATTAAAAATGCTGTTGTTACCGTGCCAGCTTATTTCAGCCACTCTCAGAGAAAAGCCACAATTAATGCTGGTACTATTGCTGGCCTCAATGTCATCAGGGTAATGAATGAACCTACTGCCACAGCTGTTGCATATGGCCTTGACAAAAGAACCGACTGTGTTGAAGAACGAAATATCTTTGTCTTTGATTTTGGTGGTGGCACATTTGACGTGTCTTTACTAACTATCAACAATAATGTCTACGAAGTAAAAGCAACTTCCGGAAACACTCACCTTGGAGGAGAAGGCTTTGACAGTAGAATGGTGAACTACTTTGTACAAGTGTTCAAGAAAAAGACCAAAGTGGATATTAGTGGAAACCCAAAAGCCTTGAGGAGGTTGAGAAGTGCTTGTGAGAGGGCAAAAAGATCGCTTTCATTCCTTGTTACCGCCACTATTGAAGTAGATTCTTTATTTCAAGGCATTGACTTTTCATCGACCATCAATAGGGCAAAGTTTGAGAAAATGAATATGGACATTTTCAATGACTGTATGAAGACGGTTGAGAGTTGTCTTACCGAAGCTAAGATGGATAAGGGCAGGGTAGATGATATTGTTCTTGTTGGTGGATCTTCTTGAATTCCAAAAGTACAACAGCTATTAAAACACTTTTTTAACGGGAAAGAGTTGTGCATGAGCATTAATCCTGACGAGGCTGTAGCTTATGGGGCAGCTGTTCAGGCTGCTTTGTTGAGTGAAGATGTTAAGAACGCTCCAAAGTTGTTGCTGCATGATGTTACACCGTTGTCTCTTGGCAGGTCAGTAAAAGGAGATATCATGTGTGTTGTGATTCCAAGGAACACTTGTATTCCTGTCAAACAGACACAAAAGTACTATAGAAGTGCCGATGGCCAATCGTCTTCCTTGATTGAGATTTATGAGGGCGAGAGAACAAGAGCCAGTGAGAACAATTTGCTCAGTTTATTTGTGCTTTCTGGCTATCCCCCAGGTCCTCGTGGTTCCCCTTCTTCAGATGTCTCTTTTGCTATAGATGAAAATGGCAGTCTGACGGTTTCTGCTACTAATAATGCTTCTGGAAATTCAATCAAGGTTACAATAACCAATTACAGAGAAAGAATGTCGGCCGAAGAAATTAACAAATTGATCAAAGAAGCTGAGAATTACCATATTGAAGACATGAAATTCCTAAGGAAGGCAAAAGCAGTGAATGCATTAGATGACTACATTTATAAAATGAGAAATGCTTTAAAGATGGTGGATGTTAGCTCTAAACTCTCCTCACTAGAGATTAAGAAGATGGAAGATGCAATTGCAGTTGCCACAAATCTGTGTGGTAACCAGCAGGTTGAAATAGAAGTTCTGGAGGATTATCTCACGGGGCTTAAGAGTAGGATGAAATACATTATAGCCAAGACAGTTTAGTTTTTTTCAATAAGTTTTATTTAATCAAGATTTTTATTATTTTCTTGCTGTTTAGCTTCCATTATCCTACAATTTAGAGTCGATATGTTACTAACTAACCCTGCAACAACGGGCTGAAACTGCGATGTAGGACTGTTTGATTCAATTGCAGTTGTCTTCCATTGTATTTGACTTTTACTTCATTCCATTCTTCTTCAAGAGAATAATTAGTTGGTTGAATTTGATTATTGTATATAGGGTATTTTATTTGTTTCATTCTCCCTCTTCCTTTTCACAAAGAGTGACTTAGACTACTTCACACATATTATTAACAAAAAGAAATACATAAAAGAAATAATGATATTTTTATCAAGAATTCGAAATGATGAAAAAATAATATTAGTTAGATGATATAATTAAAAACTTGTCAACATTTTCATATATTTGTAATTAGTTGAATACCGATACTCTCCACTAATCAAACATTATAATTCAATATCATATCATCTTATTATTTTATTTTATTTAAAAATTATTATTTTTTAATTTGCATTAAAAATATAGATACCTAACATAAATTTATAAATACCAAAAAATTTACCTTAAATATATGTATTAAAAAAATAAAATTAATTATTTATTTCAAGACATTTTTTATTACAAATATAAGTATTCATTGTGGGAGGGAGAGTTTATTTAAATTATATATTTAATGTTTAGAATTAAGTTGTAATATTTTAAAATAAACAATTTTCTCTATACTAGTCATTTCAAGTGTTGAAACTTAAGATGTCAATTGGATAGAAGTTAACATGAATTATAATATGGGTTGACAGTCGAAAGTTTGTTTGGACAAGTGCATGTTATAATTTATGGAGATGGCATAATAAATCGAGCCATATGGAGGATTATGCTTGTCCTTCTATCATTCAATTTTAGTTTTTATAATTTTTTTTTTGAAATAATTTTTTTTTTAATTTTCGTTCATATTTTTTATTTCTTACAGGCTAATTCATCTAAAAGAAGTTGATATGACATGTCATATCAAAGTTAACATTTTATTTGATTAAAAATAAGTTAGATTGTGGGGTTACAATGCCACTTCTTATAAGGTTTGAGTTTAATAAGTTTAATTCGAATTTTGCAAATCTACCACTAACAATTACTATGATTTTCGATCATGAATTGCATAATTTGAAACTTAAGATGGTTAGATTTTGGGGTTATAGAATAAGTGAAAAAAATAATTCTATTAACATTGGCTTCTCAACAGTTTGCTTACCACGTTAAAATGCATATATCTGTTTTGCCAAAGTAACAGATTTAACAACAGTGAGTAGTGAAGAAGAAATGTACAACAAGTGAGAAAAATTAATGTACTATATAGACAGTTGGTATTTGTATAGCATTATTATGAACAATAAACTAAAAAAAAAAGATTAGGTCATTAAATTGATACCAATCAGCCTACACTCCATAAATAAAGAAATACTACTAGCTTCTCTTTTTATTTGGTATTATTGTTAATGGTTGGTAGAAATGAACGAATGCCTTTTCTTCCTATCTTCAATGACCCAATCCTAACATGTATTGAAAGTCATATATCCATGTATGAATCATAAAAAGATGTTTTTTTTCTTCTTGACGGTCAAGACAAGATAAACTGTTAAATGAAGTGTGGTCAGAAGGGAACTGGAGCTTGAATATCCAACTGTTAAATGAAGATCTGGACGAGTACTCTCAACAACAACTTGGAGAGCTGATGTCTTTTCTTTCTGAAGTTGAACCAGTTTCCTCTACAGCACTGTTTTGAGTGGTTCCCTCTACAGCAGACTGCTTTGAGTGGAATGAGGAGACTACAAGCCAATTTTTTGTAAACTCTTGTTACAATCTTTTGTTGTCTAGTTTCACAAGTATTGCTTTGGAAGAAGAGCTAACTTATGCTCCGAATGTTTTGTGGAATGTTAAGGCCCTGGCCAAAATTATTTGCCTCGGTTGGAGAGTTCTTCTCAATAGAATCGCTACAAAGGATCGAAGAGATGAGTGGTGCTTAGAAACGATGAAACGTTCTGCATTTTGTGCTTCATTGAGAATGAAAATCTTAACCATATTATGTTTCATTGTGTGGTTATCATCCATATTTGGAGCAACATTGAGGATTAGCTTGGTGTGTATTTTTCCGTGGATATAGTTTCAGAGGACATTAACACCAGAAATATGTTAGAAATTTAGTATGATAATCCTGGATAACTTCGAGAAATCGTGTTCGTACACTTTCCGAACAAAGTATTTCGATCCTATTATTGCCTGGATTCACGAAATTTTTGTGGGGATAATTCTTGAAGAACAATCAGCTTCTAGCAATAGAGAACAGATCAGGAATGTAGAGAGAAAGTATGGGTTTTGTTTTTGTGTGGTTAAACTGAGGCCAAATGATTCCTTATATAGGAGACTAATAACAGAAATTGAAAAGACACAACTGTTCAAAAATTTCGAACGGGCTCTGCCCCTTGGAACCCCAACGGGGCGCTGCCTCGCACCCCGCCAGGGGCTTCGCCCCTTGGAACCCTAGCGGGGCGCTGCCCCGCACCCCGCCAGGGGCTTCACCCCTTGGAACCCCTTTTCAATTATTCGCATTCAGTTACGCGTTGGCTCTACGAGCGTGCACTCCGCACTACCCTAACTCGTTTTCAAGCTTAACGCATAATTGCATCGGCCTACAATAAATCACATTGCTACTAAAATACATTGATGATACTAAAATCACCAACAAATCCCTCCATTTTAGTGTAATCCTTGATTTACTCCATATATACAATAATATATACAAGGGTATAACACACAAGTATAACAATCAAACAAATGCATAGATGAAAATGTCTTACGATTGAATTTTCATCTTAGTACAAGTACACATTCCAAATACTCGAAAATCGGGGTGTCATAGCGTTTGAACCCGTCAATTCATTTGAATATCTGAAGATATAGTACACATATGTTTCTTACAATACTCTACTATTCATACTTGACACTTTACAAGCCATGTGTCCTTATCCATTAATAAGCATATAGGAAGTCAAGTCCAAGCTTCTTGAAGCGACAAAACTTCATGCTCACATAGTTATCCACATTGAATTCTGCTTCTAACGTTGTATTAGAAGGGAATTAGGTATACCATAGCTAATAAATTTAAATGGACTTTAATCCCATTCCAATTAACGACTTCTTTACTAAGTCTCTAGCTAACCTCTTCGTCAAGTGGTCAGCTAAGTTTTGTTGCGACCGAACAAACTCAATAGATATCACCCCATTCATGATTAATTCCCTAATCATACTATGTCTAACACCCAAATGTCTAGACTTTCCATTGTATATTTGACTATAAGCTTTAACCAATGTGGCAGTACTATCACAATGGATAGAAATTGGTGATATCGGTTTAGGCCATATCGGAATCTCATATACCAAGTTCCTTAGCCATTCTGCTTCTTTACTAGCAGCAGCTAATGCTACAAACTCAGATTCCATTGTGGAACCAGTTATACATGTTTGCTTCTTAGAAGCCCATGAGATGGCACCTCCCTCAAGCAAGAACGCCCATCCACTTGTAGAGGATGAATCTTCAGCATTATTTATCCAACTAGCATCCGAATAACCCTCTAACACCGAAGGAAATCCCATATATGACAATCCATAATTCATATTACCCTTCAAGTACTTGAATACCCTAGTTATCGCATGCCAATGATGTCTACTAGGATTACTAGTAAATCTGCTCAACTTTCCAACCGCATAAGCAATATTCGGTCTAGTGCTAATCATAGTATACATCAAAGAGCCTATAGCTCTTGAATATTCGAGTTGATCCACAGGTTTACCTGTATTTGGCATAAGCTTTTCTCCCGGATCCATGGGAGTACTTACTGGAGAACAACTTTCATAATTGAACTTCTTGAGTATTTTCTCAATGTAATGAGATTGCGTAATTACAATCCCCTTATTCTCTCATTTAATCTTGATACCAAGAATAACGTCCGCTTCTCCCATATCCTTCATGGAGAACTTTGATGACAAGAAATTCTTTGTTTTATCAATTTGATTTTGGTCGGTGCCAAAGATCAACATGTCATCAACATATAGACAAATGAAAACTCCTTTACCGGGTGTATCAAATTTGCTATATACACATTTGTCAGCTTGGTTTAGAATGAAACCATTAGACAAAACAACCTCATCAAACTTTTGATGCCACTGTTTCGGAGCTTGCTTCAGCCCATACAACGACTTAACTAGCTTACACACTTTATACTCATTACCAGGCATTACAAATCCTTCAGGTTGCTTCATATACACTTCTTTTTCCAAATCACCATTCAGAAATGCTGTTTTGACATCGATTTGATGAATCACTAGATTATGAATAGCCGCCAAGGCAATCAACAATCTAATAGTAGTGATACGGGCAACTAGAGCATAGGTATCGAAATAATCAATCCCTTCCTTTTGTCTGAAGCCTTGGATAACTAATCTAACTTTAAACTTGTCAATTGTACCATCGACTTTCATCTTCTTTTTGAAGATCCATTTGCAACCCAATGGTTTGCAGCCTGGTGGTAAATTAGATAATACCCAAGTATTATTTTCCATGATAGAACCAATCTCTTCATCAATTGCTTCTTTCCAAAAAACAGAATCTTGAGATTTCATAGCTTCATCATACGTTCTTGGATCCTCCTCTATACTATAGCAATAATAATATTGAGCATCAATCTGATCCTTTGATCCCTCAACTAGATATAGTTGAAAATCAGATCCATAAGATCTAGATTTTCTGGCTCTTTTGCTCCTATGGGGTTCAACTGTCTCACTTGGAACATCATTTGAATGATCATCCCTTAGAGATTCATATGAATTAGGTATAGAGTCCTTTGGTCTAGGTATAGAAGAGAAACAATTCTCATCAAATATGGCATCTCTCGATTCTATAATCGTGTTATTAGAAATCGAGTCATTAGGTTCTA